AAAAAACCAACAAAAACAAACTCCGTGGTGCCAAAAGGAGACACTTAAATCTAACACCTAAAATGTTGGAACATGTTCTCACGCAGTGGGGAAAGGGGCCCTGTGAATCAGACTTCAACTTTCAGCACTGAAACAAAACCCAACACAGGTGGCCTTAAAACTTGGTAATTTAAAGTCAAACTGCAGAACCATGTTGTTGTAGAGGCTGTGCCCCCGCCCCTCCTGCCCCACGGACTGTGTGTGCTGGGAGGGCTGCAGCTTTAACAGGATCTGTCAGATTATTCCCAGGACTGAGGATCTCAGTGTAACGGCAGCATGATAGCGCTTAGTGTGACTGGTTTCAAACGATTGTATATTCCTAAAGGGAACAGAGGCAGGAGCCATTCCGACACCGTGGCAGCTAAGCCTTTCCGAACCACCCACCCATGCAGTTGTTGATAGATATGCAGTATTTTGTTGTTCACATGTGGAATTAGAAATTTTTGAGGTGTATTTTCATTTCTTTGCAAAACAATGGGGTCTTTGACATTTCAAATCACTCCATTTCTACTCCGGAAACTTTGGAATCACACAACTACTTTTCATGTGAAATTTTGTTTGGTAAAAAACTGAATGTAGGGTTTTTTTAACCAACGGAATGATTTACTTTTGTCTGTCCTGTTCAAGTTCAGATAAAGCTACTTTATTACATCTGCAAATTTTCATATTTTAGCAGTTGCCTGATAAATTTAATCAAATTTTATTACCATGTGTAGTGATCAAACGCTTCTTTGGGCTTGCATGTAACTGATTAGAAACTCTGATGTAAATGAGCCGTTAACTGACGTAAAGAACTGCTATGGATTTGACCAGAGCTGCACTTACCTGTTTCTCTCTCTGCTACCTTTTGCTGTTTGTTACTTTGTGTTGACTTTGACTGTCCCTGGCATATTTTTCCAGTCTAAAGTAAAACAAGAGTCTCGCTTAATATTGTGTATGTTTAAGATAACAGACTGTTCTTCATTTAGAAAGATAAAATTCTCTATCACGAGTCCTTTTAAAAAGAGTAAAATTATCTTGTCAGAGGTATATTCGATATTTTTAAGCTTAAGCACCCTTCAGTAGAAATTAATCTGCCCCGTTTCTCTGTAACACTTTGATGTCAGACACTGACCTCGGGGTCTCCATGACCAGTAGCTGTTGTGGTTTTCTAACAGTGGCTACCAGATTATGGTAATAATTTTTTTTTTTTTTTTAAGTGTGTGTTCTGCAGTTGAACATTTTAAAATGTATCGGTAATTTCTCACTTTAATGTGGTAATAGATTCCACTTTACATTTCAAAATTCAATTGAAACAAGGCTGCTGTTCAGTCTTCAACTCACACAACGTCTTAGTTCCTCCTGCAGCCAGGTGAGTGGGAGCCAGAGTTGGCTCCATCGGAATCTGGTTTTTGTCCTGTTCTGTAATAAAGATGCATTATTTATATTTCCTTTCCTGCTACGAAAGGAAAAAACTGTATTTTCATGATGGACTGAACAGTTTGGAGTGGTTATTTTAGGCAGCTTTTGGAAACTATTTACCTAAAGACCAAATATGAGAAATCTGTACAAGTTTTGTGTTCATCCACACAATGGAACTGTTACAATGTCTCTGCAGATAATACATTAAAAAACTATGAAAAAAAACTCTACACAAGCTGGATTTATAACAGGCATTTAAAAAAAAGCATAACCTGAAAAGAAGCATTTCTGTACAATTGCAACGTTTTCTTTAGAGGTTTTAAAAATAAAAAAAAAAGTAAAGTTTTAACATACTTTTTTTAAGAAAAAAAATCCAGTACTAGTAATTTAATTTGGTGTTGAATGAATTGACTAGAATGTGGTTTATTTTCAGAAGTGAGAATCTGTTCACAACTAGGGCTAGGTGAATAATAGTGTATAAGATTTTTTTAAATAAAATTAAATTTTATTCAGCAAATTAACTAAGTTGAAATTACTCAACAAGTGTGTTTGGAATATCAATGTATACTTGGGGTCAATGCAGCTTCTGTGTCAGCCCCACCAAGCCAAGGGTGCCCCTTCCAGCCACGCTGTGTCCCAGGAACCACGGGCATGGAGGGGCCTGGGGCTGGACCCTGCCAGTGCTTTGCACAGTTTGGGGCACAGGACCGTGTCTGCCCTAGATGGATCAGTATTGCTGTAAGAAAGTTTAGGAGATGTCGCTTTCTGGAATCACTGTTATGAATGTGGGTTTTGGTGTCTGATCTCCTTTTTCCTGCATTGGTTACAGTCTCTGTTTCTCAGCAGTTGGGGAAATGCTTTCAAGGACCAGGAAGACTTTCCTGGAAGTTGGGTCAGGATTTCATGGTAATGCTTTCAGGAACTGGGGAGAAACCCAACTCCACAAGCCTTGGATGTGGAACTGCTGGGATGGGCAGAACCTGCTCCTTGAACAGAAAGCCTGGTCTGAATGGTCTGAACAAACAGAACTCTTGGGGAAGAAGAAGAAAATAGCTTAACATGAAGGCAGTGAGTGGTGTAATTGTTCCTCTGCCCCAGAGGCAGGCAGAGAGTGTGACCCAGCCCCAGCCTGGTGCCATTCTGTGGCTGCTGTGTCCAACACAGCCCTTCTGCCCTGTGTCTGTAAGAACTGGTTGTGTCTCACTGATTAATCTTGTATTTTCTCCTTTATTGTGACTACCTAAAGGTTCTGAAAGCAATCCTCGGATTCCAGTTTCTGCTGGCAGATACCTGGAATTACTGTAGAATTTAGTTCACTGACTCATTATTTCCTGTCAGGATTCTGAACTGTGACACAGGTACTGTGGAGAGAGATGGCAAAATGAGGAGAGAAGGCGTCGAGTTACTTTTTAATACAAAAGAAACTGCTAATCCCTGTGTTTAAGAGCAGCTGCTGCTGGGAATAGGTTGTGTTCCAGGAACAGTCGTGTTCTAGACTTGCTGTGCCAGCTCTCTGCTTTCCTGGTGGCTGAGGGTGATCCCGTGGCTGTGTGCTACCACCAGTCCATCAGTGCCAGGTACAGGGCCCACAATCCTCAAAGCACCGTTCCTTTTCCCAAAAAGTGACTGACTGAGCACTGTTCCATTTGATTGTAGAGCTGTGCAAACGCTGGGTCAATTCCTCCATGGAGGCAGTGCAGCAGTGAGCAGTGAAGCACTGGCAGAACCTGGAGCCAGAGCCAGCTGGGAGGACTCAATCCTGTGTTGGATCTGATCACTGTACAACAATTGTACCTAATCACAGCCATTTGCAGGTAGCACGAGGAATCTGAGGTGGATTAGGGCATTCAGGCTTAGTGCAGCCTGGCTGCCTGCACAGGTGTGTTATTTTCATTCCTGCTGCCACGTTGGAGCAGAGGTTTAGGGAAAATTTTACACATTTAGCAGAGTTTAAATCTTCCCCAGAAATGTGTTTGTAGTCTGTCAGCTGTAGGATAACTGGACAGGAGGGCAGGGGGTTGGTGCAGCAGCAGCTGAGGCCCAGCAGAGCTGTTGGAACAGGGATTGGATGGGGGAGTGGAGGATTTCCATCAGCCTTGGGGAGCCAGGCTCCAGCGCTTCTCCATCACATCCTCCTCTGGGAAATGACACTTCCAGGCCCTTCTGCTGGTCCAGCTGTTCCGAGCAGAGGAGCCTCAGCCCAGCACTGGGGGGAATGGCAAGGTAAGTGCTGCACAAGAACAGGTCTGCACTGGGAAGTTGGACTTGTTTTGGGACAGACAAGAAGGTGCATGTCCCAGGCAGTGGCTCACGTGCTCCTGTCCCCTCTTCATGCAGCAGGTTCAGTTCCTGTCCTTCACCAGCCACCACTATTGACTCCCATGTTTGTTCCCCCAGCCTGGAGCAATGGAAACCATGGCTGTGACCATCAGTGAATACAGCAAAGTTAGTCACTTTTATTTAAAAGAAATAACATATTACAAATAAGTGTGCAAAACAATTCCTGTGGTTAAATACGCATAAAAGCAACATGCAACCTTGACATCAGCATGGTAAGTTAGTCCTTAGTAGGTTACATGACACTAAAGGGACTTGTCAAAGTTAGAGTTTGCAACTGAAGTCACAGAGTGTCAGGGCTGAAGCATCTGTGAAATTAGCTTTCAGAAGAGCAAGACCTCCCTGCCCCAGTGTTTAGTGCCACAGATGCTGAACTTGGGGCTATCTCAGGTTCTGGGTTAGGAGCTTGTGCCTTAGGTCAGCAGGAAATAGGGTAACAATTTTTGGGGAAGAGTGTACAAGTCGTGGGTTCAGTCTAACCTACCTGCCCCCGGGCCAGCAGCAATAGTATGCGAACAGCTCAAAGGAAGAAAAAAAAAAAAAGACAAGTTTGCAAGTTTAAAGCCATTGCAGACATGGAATTTCCTGCCACCTTGTTCAGTTTTTGTGCTGGATATGGGCATGGCCTCTCCAGCCTCCCAGCTGCAGCAGTTTGGCAGTAGTTTGGCAGCAGTTTCACAGCTGTCACACCAGTACCGACTGTGGGATTATGGAAGGAATCAGCTCTACCACTACAGGAGTCCTGGGTGCTTGTTGTGCTCACACAGGAGAGGGGAGTTGGGTCAGCCCTTGCCCAAAGGTGCCTCCAGCTGCTTCAGTTTGGGACCTTGGACAGGTAACGCTGATCCCTCACCTGAAGCAGCACTGGCAGGGCCACACGACCCTCACCACCCAGCCCCAGGCACTAGGTCAGAGGACAAGCAGGACTTGATCTACACGTGTCCCTTGCTCCATACTTGTCACCTTTTTTGTTCCCTCAGCTGTGCCAGGGGAGGGGGGAGGCAGGACTCCTGGTGGAAAAGGCATGACCCAGTGTTCCCCCGCTCCCAGCCATGCAGTGGAAGTAAAGCAATGCCTAAAATCTGCTTTCACATCCCTTTTCCTAAGGCCAGCCGAAGGTGTGGACAGCCCCTGCAGAGCTTTCCCTGTGGCACTCTTGTTGGAGCTACAGTCATGTCACAGTTTAGACTACAGAGAAACCCAATAGGCACAAGCTTGTTGAAAGCCACATCTTGAAAACTTGAGTTGGTGACAGTAACTCAAAGAGATTTTAATGATGAATACTTGCAGAAATGAGAACAAACATATGTAGTCCACTACTTCAGAGCTGCTTGTGATTACGTTGAGCCAGGCTTCTCCATGAGCTCTGCTGAACTTCTGGATCAGTACTGGACACTCAGATCTGTCCCTCAAAGATGCAGGGGGGCCAAGGCAGTGCTTTGAGCCGTGTACTCCCCTCCCCTCAGTCAAAGCTTGTCGTCTGTCATTTCTAGGAACTGAGCGTACACATCCCTTGAGCATTCCCCTTTTTGGTTGAATAAGAACTTGTAGTAGCTGCCATCTGCACATATTGCTGCAACACAAACAAGCAGAGTCAGTGGGGCGGTGCCAGAGGTGCCCTCCTTTTCTCCAGTTCCAGTGTGAGCTGCCCTTCAGACTCACCGAGGAGTCTGGAGGGACCCTGGGCCAGCAGCCTGTGCTGTGCCAGCCCCGTGCCTCCCTCCGTGGGCAGTGGGAGCAGCCAGAGCTCTGGGATGACAGGGACACTCAGCGCTGTCTCAGCAGAGCATTCCCTCCCTCCAAGCCAGCACAGTTCAAAGCCTGGTTCTCCAGCCACAACCTGGGACTCACCTATGACAGCGTTTGGCTCTGTTCCAAAGGCACAAATGCACGGAGAGCCTGAGGGAACCTGGAATTTGGAAAAACTCCATTTGGAACTGAAGTATTTGGGGAGAAAGGTGGCAGAGGCCAAACTGAAAGAGAAAACAAAGACATTAAGAGGTTGGTAAGATTTTGACTAGGGTGGATTCAGAGCTGCTGGAGCGATTGAACAAGATGCAGGTTCACATGATTTTTCACTGGCTTTTTATTTTCTTTAACTATCAGATAACCTGAGTAATTCCCCTTCTCAGGAAGGGAGACACTACAACTACCTTGCTGGCTTTAAGTGACTGCAAAAACTGCCAGAAGGAATGATTTTTAGTACAGGAAAGTGTCCACAACGTATGTTCATCCTGAAGTCCACTAAAACCTCCACTGACCTTCTACAGAAATGCTACAGCCCTGCAAAGGACAGCAGGAACTTGGCAATTACCAGAGAGTTCTAAATCTGCAGCTTCATGCCAGCCCAGCAGATAAATTTTTCCACCTTCAGCAGTGTAGATTTTGCTACTGATTAACATGGACAGTGTTTTAAATGCAATTCAAAGCTCAAGGACTTTCCCCAGGGCTTCAGAACAGCTCCATTCCTACCTTGACTGCTTATTTCTTTTTGGGTCTTCTGCAGCAAAAATGTGGACTGTGCCATGGTCACTGGAGACGCAGATGAGGGAAGCATCCTGGTTGAAGTTAATACTGCAGAGAACACAGACAGCTGCAGGATTTCTCCTGGGATAGACCCTCAGCCCTGGCACAGACAGGGCTGCTTTGTGATGAACAAGTAGCACTCAGAACAGGGCCTGCAGGGGCAGCAGCAGCCCTGACATGGACACCACTGGTGTGGGTCACTGACACTGCTGCAGGGAAATGCACGAGCTCTGCTCTGAGGATTGGGCAGAACTCTCAGCTGCTACCCTGGAATCACAGGAATGGAGTTTCCATGGGGAATGGGCAGAGGGTTTCCCTGCTCCTGGGACAGTCACACCTCTGCCCTGGCTGCTCCTCTGCACAGCAGGATGTGGGGATAAAGCTCCCCTTGCCCCTGAGCAGTGTCCAAGGGCATCAGGGCACTCCCTGGGTGTCAGTGGGAAGTTCAGCATCACCCAGCTCCCACCTGGGCTGAGCAGAGTCATGGCCTGGCAACAGCCACAGCTCTGTCCCTGATCCTGTAGCCTGTGCCAGGCTTCACACAGCTCCAGCTCCTGCCTTCCCCTCCCAGCAGTGAGCCCAGAGGGAGATGCAGAGGCCCAGGGGTGCCACAGCCATCCTGTGCTGGCTGGGGGGCTCAGCACAGCCAGACCCACGGGTGGCACAAAAGCAGCTGGACATACCAGTATATATTGGCTGCCTGTGATCCTCGACGTAGCTCCTGGATTAAATGCCCTGATGAAGTATCAAATATTCTTATGAGGGTCCCCTTGAAAAGGAATCAAGCATTGTATTAGCAAAGGTAGAAGACTGTCTTTACATCTGTGAATGCATCCTAAAATTTCGTCTGACCACCATGCCCCTCCACACACTCCTTCTTTGGGGTTTTCTTCTTGGTAGAGTTGCAAACCTCTTATAATTTTGGGGAAGAACACTGGTTTCCCCACACACCATCACCACAATGTTATAATGCCTTAAGGTACAATCTTGTCACGTAGTGACTCAGGAAGTCTCTTTCAGTGCAGTTCTAAGGCACTGCAGCAGCCCTGGCCCTGATTTTCAGACCCTGGCTGGTGTAGGGTGTGCCCAGGATCTGTGGGTCACTTCTGCCGTGCTCCCCTCAGTACGACTGCATTTTTCATTGCTACTGAGCAATTCCTTCCCACTATGTATAATCAAGTTGTGGCTGGTCTTGTCTTAATATTGGTTCAGCTGACATAACCTAGAAGAATCAGTTACTACACACTCATGATCTGTATTGATCCAAATCTGAGGCACCACCCAGTCAGGTGATAGAACACTGCACTGGGCAACTGTCCTTCACCTGGAGCAAACCCAGTCTGACAGCAGAGCTGCACAACGAGCCAGTGTGTCTCAAATAAGGTGGTCAACAAATCAGTGATGCTTTCCTCTGATGAAGACTGGGTGTACATTGGGCTGTGCATCACCACCTGCAGCTCCTGTTACACACTGCTTAACAGAGGCAGCTCTCCAGTCACACAGCAGGAAGTAACAACCCAGCAGAGAAAGACTTGGTGAACTCAGTTTAGTTTTGATTTAAGAGACAGGCTTGAGATGTTTGCTGACTGTGCTCAGACTCCTAGTTCAGTTGGAAAATAAAAGCTGCTTGAACTTCTTCTCTATGCTAAACAAGGAATGTTTAATACAAACGCAGCAGATAATGGCTCTATTTAGCAATGGAGTTGGCAGCTTTTAGAACTCTGTTTAGAAGACATGCAGTCATTAAGCTTAAGAGAGACTCCGGATACATTTTCTTTTTTTAAACTCTTTGAGTGACAGGCTGGGCAGTGAAACCTATGTGGAACAGAGACTCGTTGGATTAATTTGGCTTGTCCTTAAGAAACTGATTTCAGCTGAGTGGAAGAGCAGCAAGAGCTGTGCTTGGCTCAGGGAGATGGGTCCATCTGCCTGACATTCCCTGGGGAGATGAATGCCCTGGCAGCTCTCTCTGTGCTTCCCAGGGAGAAGGCAGCTCTGTCACGTTGGCCTCTCTCTGCACTGCACCCTAACTTCAGTTCTTGTCAGTGTCTTGTCTCTTCAGCCCCACGTGGCCACACGCTCCCTTTCTGTGTGAGGGGGGCAGCCCACCCTGTCCTGCTCTGTAACAGGGGCTAAGCCAGAGCAGAACAAAGCCTGCCAGTACAACTGAACTATTTACAAGTATTTCTTTAGCCAGTGGGTTTGGAGTGAATTTAAACAGAAAATAATAAAGGTGAAAGAACGCAAATATGCTTCCCCCCACCGCTTTTTTTTTAATTAACAGTATCTGTTGAAGAACACATCAAAGAAGTTAACTACTTGGGCCAAGCTGTGTTCAAATGTCACTGAGGAATCACTGCTACAGCCAGCTAAAACAAAGAGTACCTCAGGCACAGCCCTTGGCTGTCGGCTGTTTGGGCATCCCAGAGGAGCAGGGAAGATAAAGAAAGACTGAGAGCGCACAGTTCAGTGGCTGATTTTCCCAGTAGGTATTTCTCTGAATTTCCTCCAAACGATGTGACTTGCTGTTTTATCTCACTACACTAGAACACACAGTACATCAGAGGCAGGGGACATAATTCTTACTTTTTCTGATGCTGTTGCAATTCTTGTTCCCTGCAGGTTTAAAGCGATACAGCTCAAGACTCCTTCGTGAGCTGGGATGTCCACAGGAGGCTTCTCTGTGTTAGCCAGATCCACGATCTGCACGTGGCCAGTGTGTGTTCCAGGAAATGCAAGAAGAGAATTATTACTATTTGGACAAAGGACACAGAGACCTGAAAGACAAAAAAGAAAAAAACAAAAAAAAAAAACAAAAACAAAAAACCCAATTGGATCATTTCCATAACCTAATCAACTTTTCAAATGTAAGTTTCTAAAATATTGATAATTTCAGGATAAGCAAACACCCATGGAGTAAATCAGAATCTCATTTTAATGGCTAGTGCCATTACATTAATTGCTAGTCCCAAAACATTATCTGTCCATGAGTGCAGAGCATAGTTAAACAGAGGAATAGCATAATTTTAGTTTTAACTTGCTCTCATCACTTTATTCCAGTGTAATCCAGCTGTGTTATCCAGAATCTGAGTGGTTTTTCAGATTAGCCCAGTCAGTCCACTACATCAAAGCTATTTTAAGAAGAAGTTAAAAGGTCTCCTTCACTGCTCCATCTGTGAAACTATTATTAATTTGTGTTTGAACTTGGTTCTTACAGCACTGACACTTTTTTCTTTGTAATGTTTTGTGGTACATTTAAGGTAAATCACACCAATCTCAGGTGTTCTGCTGATGCCAAGTGAATTCCTGAAACCTCGGTGCAAGAGAAAATCTCCTCCTCCTCCTGCATCCCCTGCCTGTCAGTCAGGCTGCTGGAGCTGCATCCAGGCTGGGATTCCATGACAGCAATTCCACGTTTGCTCCATGCAGGCACGGAAACTCAGAGATGGGGATTCCAATCCTGTATAACCTAGTGGAGAAAACCCTCCTGACATCCCAGCTGATCCTCTTCCACCAATCAAGCTCTGCCTGCACCCTTTGTTTCACCTGCAGCATTATCAACAAGTGTTTGCTCCACCCTTCCTGACACTCCTCCAAGCCACTGCCAGCCCTGCAGAGCCCTTCACCAGCTCCTTCTGCCATCACTGAATGAGCCTCAGCCCCTCCCCTTGGTTCAACAACAGCCACAGCCAGGCCTTGCTATTTAAAAAGAACAGTATCAGTTTGCTCATTAGGCTCTTTTAAACAGGAGAGAAGAGTTTGCTCAACACCTCCACCTCTATTAGGAAAGAAAAATGATGCACTTTACTAGAGTTTGTGTTTGTAATTAACCTTCCAGCAAAAATACAGGCTCTTTACAGAAGAAAGCATACAGCTCTTACAGAAATCACATCTATAACATGAGCACAGGAAGCAGCTTCTCTGGGCCAAGTATTTATAAATTCTAATAACCATTCTATAAACACAAAAGCATCTCCAAAGGACACGACTGCAGTGCAGTAAGTGTTTAATGACTTCTAAAGAACTGACTGAGGCAGCTGAAGAAAAATGGCATGTCAAGATCACAATAAACTTACTTCCATTCCCCAGCCCACAAGTTCAACTAACCTTTAGGGTTGTAGCAGGTTTCAAAGACGTGCAGCTGGTGGGGATTGTGTGTGAACGTGAAAACTTTAATCATCGAGTCCAAGACTACCACAATTCTGAAACAGACCAGAAGTTCTGGTGACTCGGGGAGGGTAAAACAGGGACACAAACATTCATTCAGATCTGCAAAGGCTTTCAACTGATTTAACAGCCACATTCTTCGTGCCCTCCCTCGCAGGAGACTCCCAGCCTTGCAGCAGCCACGCAATGATAAGCCTGCAAAGCACTTTTATCCAGCCCCTCCACCCACGCACACACAGACTCCAGCTGTTCACAGCTGCTCTTGCTCCAGGGATCTGCTGGAATTTTCTTCACACTCCTCCATACCTAGAAAACCAGCAGGAGCCACAGGAGAGTATTTCCCTACATCAGGGGGCCAGGAAGTCTTGTAGGCTTTTCACCACGGCTTCACATAGCAGTATACTTAAACTGTGGTCTGTTTACACCTAACACTCTGGCCCCAAAAGCCTGTTTCACCTGCAATTGCTGGTGTTACAGCTGGATCTTTTTCTTTTTACAAGCAGCTGGAAATGAGTAGGAGCACCAAGCCAAGCTGGGTGTCTGGACCCCTCTGCTGTACCTACCTATCTCTTCGCAGCTTCACTGCTTTGACTTCTGTGGAAAACTCTATCTCAATGACAGTCTTCTTCTTCAGGTCATCCCAGATCATGACTAGAACAGTGCAGAGATTGCATTAGACCATCAAGGCATATTCAAAGATCCACAGCTCCCTTGTAACAACTTGCAGTTCCCCAGCAGTCTGATCAAGAGGTTCATCCAATGGTTAAGCAGCTGCAGACAGGTATTTAACCAGACATGCAAAGCAGAAGGCACTGAGCCACCACATATCAACCCCCTAATTGCCACTATAACTTGTGCAGGCAGGAGCTGGTCAACTCCAACCACCAAAACTGATAATAAAAATATATTTTTCTAAAGGAAAGCAACTTTTTTTGTTTGCCCTGAGGGTTATGAAAGAACTAATGCAGCAGTTGAAAAGAGTGGTACATTTTCCTACAAAGCTTGCCAGACAGGGAGCTTCCTGCTCCTTGCAGAGTTCACTGTGAGAAGGTCAGCAGGCCTTGGAGAGCAGTCCCTGCAGGTACCAGCCTGTTAGCACTGCACCAGCAGTGATGCAACTCACTGCACCACAGTGACTAAAACCTGCTGCAGCATGCCCTTCACCCGACCTTCAGGACATCAGCTCACAGCCCTGGCTGTGGGAGCTCTCTGGGCACTGTCACACAGGGGCAAGGCAGGCTTTGCAGGCTCCACCCCTCAAGCTCACCTTTGTTGGGTGGGTACTTCGGCTTTTTTCCTCCACCTACTAGTGCTAAATAGTTGCAACGAAATAACATTTCGACGTGGCCAACACCACCTTCTAGAAACTCTGAAAGACAAATATTTTAATTAAAAGTGTCAGAACTGGTTAAATTGCCATCTAATTTTTACCACTGTTATAAAAAAAGCTCGTGTTATCCAGCACATTTCTCAGGCACCTGAGAAGAAGAGCATCTTCCTATCCTGGCTGCCCTTAAAAACCAGAGAATGTGGATTCCTTGAAAGTTCTTCATACTGGAGCAGTAAGCTCTGGATTTCATACAAGCCCTTGTGGTTTCTGCAACAGCACTTCTGAGTGCCATGTTTCCTTCCTGAGCAGTTGTGCTTGAACACCACCCCTTTCTGCACCAGATCCCTCTCTTGACTCCATTAAAGCATTTAAAGCAGGACAGAACATTCTGCTATGAAGAGGTGTTATCACTGTGACAAAAAGGTCTACAATATTTACAAGGGATAACCTGAAACAATTGAAGAATGTGTAATGTGTTCTGATTCTGTGTTAGAGCACTGAATCATTGCTTGGATGTGTATTTCTTGGAACTCCTGGATGTAAGACAGACAAGCTGGGGTTGCAACAAGATTTGGTTTTATACTGAGTTACAGAGAAAAGCAAATGGACAGGCTCCAGCTGGGAGAGTCTTGGGCAGGTTTAAACCTACAGGAACAATGAACAGGATCTCTGTGTACCTACACAGCCAGTTCAGTGAGAGCTCTCAGAATCCACAGCCAATCTGACTCATAAGAAACTTTTCACCACAGGAGTCCTGAAATATTGCCATGCAGAGCTACTGGCAGGGAGAGTTTTGACAAGGAGCTCCACAGGACTTCAGACTGAATCCTGACTCTTTGAGCACACTGTCACAAATGACAGTCCCAAGGCACATTGCTTACAGAATTTACCATTAAGAGCAGAAAATAGTTTGTCATCTTTGACCATGTGAACAGTGACTAAAATCCTTACAGTGGTAGCAAATGAAAGTGTGCCTGATTTTGTAGGAATTGCTACTTTAAGTGCATTTTTTCTCTTATTAAATCCCTTTTCTCACCACAGGCTGAAAGTGCTGGGAAACCTGTTTAGCAGCTCACTTCCTATATTTAGAGTTAGAATGACATGGCTCAGTTTCAGTTTCCCATATTTTGACTCAGTTTTGTTTGCCTTCTGATAAAAGGCTCCACTGTTAACACAGCTCATCTACTGACTTCTATGAAGACACAGGAGTAGCTTTACCACATTAAGATCGTCCCCAATTTTTAAAGCATACCTAGAAGGTAAGATTTAGAGCATCAAAGGTCTGAGCTCTCGGTGCTCTTGCAGACAATACTCTCGAGTATGAGAAATGCTACATTGAGATCTCCAGGAAAAAGCCTGGAGTCTTACTGCCACACTGGATCATCCAGATCAGCACACAAGAACAGAACAACTTCTGATGGCTGCAGGGAGCTACTCCTCCTGCTTGTAAAAAAACCCAGGAAACACCTCTCCTACTCAGGCTACAAACATTAGCAACAACAAACACAACTCTGCCAGGAGCTGAGACAAATTCCTCATCAGCCAACTGTGCAAATTAACAGCACAGAGACTTTTGAGCAGGCAATGGCACGAGTGAGAGTCCCCGTGGGACCAGCAGGAGCTGCCTTTCCTGAGGCTTTATTCAAAGCCTTCCAGGGATGGAAAAGTGAAAGCTGAGCAAGAATCAGTCAGGAAAAAATGAGAAGGCTGAGCTTCCAACACAGAGCAGCATGGTGTAATAAGTAAGTGTTTTACCTTGTTTCTCTTTTTCTTTGAGTGGATCTGCATTATAAACTCGGAATCCATTTTCCATTCCACATGCAAAGCATCCTGTGGTAAAAAGCACATATACATACACATATAGTAATTGCCAGATACACTCAAGAAGGAAGCAAGAGCCAGAGGGTTAGGAAAGCACTGCTCAACAACTGCATGGTTACACTCAAGCTGAAGAGCACCCACAGGCTCTGTTAGTGATGGCAAGTGAAAATCTTCCAGAGAAATTGTCCTCTACGCTGGCCTAGTGGAAATGCCTTGGTTTTGGTTTTAGGTAGGTAAGAAAACAATAGAAGGCAAGGAAACCAATTCCCAACCCACCTGGATCCTGTGCCATGCACTAGAGTGCAGGAAACCAGCATTTTAGTGTTTATGGTCCAACAGTTATGAAGCGAGCTCCCTCCTTTCTTAATAGATCCAAATTCACCTCATGATTACGACTCTGCTGTGGATGTTTCCAGAGCACAGTGCTCATCAAATAGCTTTTCCAACTGTGCTAATGAGAGCTGACTGCTGTACCATGCCAATAATTATATGAAGTCTAACCCAGGACATAAGCAGAAGCCAGATTAAAACTCTCTGGTAAATAATAGTAGTTACTTTTTCATATAGAAGTATGCATGTGCTTCTTTAGTGGAAGTAATAAACTGCCAGTCCCTTGTCCCGCTCCTTGCCCTGCTGACAGGTGAACACAGGCACTGGTACAAAGAAATGCCACTGTGAAGTCAGAGCAATGACAAGTCACCAAGAAGCTGCTGTCACTGGCAGCAGCCTGATGGCAGGTTAGTTGCTCACAATTCATGTGTACTGTACCAAAAATCCAGTTAAAGATCTCTGAGGTACAGGAATGTAAGTTCCAGTTACTCTGGTTCTATTCGAATTTATGTACTGCAATGATTTGAACCCCACAAATAAAAGCTGAGGAACTCTGTCTAAACACAACCCTTTACCAAACTCAATACTCCAACAATCACAGGGGGTGTGGGGGAAGAAAACAAAACACAAAAACCTACGCCCATAAGCCCAAAGACTCCCAGGTACAACATCACCCTGTCCAAGATATTGTCATAAATTAAGTGCACAAAGTTCTTGTTTACATTCATAAACACACACACGAAGTGGCTAATGTGAATGCAGTAATTATAGCAGGATTAACAACCATATTGCAATAGGCTTTGATATGAAGCCTGTTCACTTTCTCTCCTCCCCTCTCAGTGTTGGTTTGCTCTGGCAGCCAGGTCAAACTGCAATGGAAACCTCCCCCTCTACATAAAGCACTGCTGTACAGGATGAGAACTGATCTGTTCCTCACAACTGAGCCATATAATTATTTTCCAGCAACAGTTTTCTAATCCCATATTGTATTTCCAGGAAAGTCAAAGGGAAGGGATGCAGAAGCTGTTCTGTAGTAAGAAAGTGCTGTAAGGTTTGAGTTGTGCTGATCACAGCAGCTCCTAACAACCCAAATGGAGCATTCCTGATGCAATCAAACACACACTTTACACTTCCTGCAGCACCACTAGAGCTTTCTGCAGGACCAACCTCATGAGTAAGACGTGGGCTGCTTTAATGCCTTGGGAATATCCACATTTTTAACTGAAGAGAACACACAAGAATGTGGGGATGTGAGTAATGGTGAAATTCCCCATGTGGTCCATCACTACCCACAGAGATATGAAGCTCTCAGGCACAGCAACCCCTGAGTCAAACAAGAGAAGAAAACCCTACAGGAAGATTCCTGTCCCTGCTTCAAGTCCACGTTACAGGGCAGCTTTGAAGCTTGGTGATTCCCATCTGACTGATTTCTGTTTCACTGGAACCACAAATTTGATGGCTACAGCTTGTAAGCCCTTCCATGTGAGAGCCAGAAGGGGCTGACAGAGGAAGGAGCACTTCCTTCCACAAGAAGTGCACCTCTCTTTCCAAGAAGGGACACATGGGCTGCAAAGCCACTGACAAAAGATAACTCGATACTTTTTCCAAAAACTGTAATGATGACAGAGTTGTTGCCCTGACCCACAGTTGTGCTTGTTCCTACAGTAAAAGTGCTATTTGCCACCAGTGCTAGTGAGCCCAGAGTGAGTTTTGTTCCTCCAGATCTGCAGAAAAAGAAGGGTTAAATTAACGACCAGCCTAGAAGACACCACATACTGAAGGGGACACGTTGGCACAGAGAAACCTGCAGGCTCCAGGGCCTGAGGTCCTGCAGCGGCAGTAGTGGAGTCCAGGGAAGTGATGATGTCCAGTGCAGTTTCTGCACTGTGGTTTTCCTTGGCATCATAAATGCTGTGTAAAGCCAACAGCACAGGACTCTACCAATTTTGCAGGGTCGTACAAAGCATTCCAGCCCACTGAAGAAGAGTAAATACCTAAGTCAAGTATTTCCATACCAAAACAAACCCACACCTCAGTTTTCAAACCAGCATCTGTCAGCAATTTATAGGTATGGCCATTTATTATGATGTTTTGTCTCTTCATTTCTGAAAAGTACTTTAGTGTCCTTCTCAAAGCATTAGGAAAGGATCTGAAATCAGGAGCTCACAGTCTCTAAATTAACATGATAAAATCAGAATATTCTGACTTCAAACAACTGACAACTTTAATTTCCTTGTGTTACACTGCTTCTTTGTTTTTTAATTTAAAGCCCAAAAGTAGCAAAGGCACCTGATATAAAACCAGCATCACTCAAGTCAGAGTGAGGGAGGATCATGGCAGAACAACCACAGTTGCTTTATCACTTGCCAGTCAGGGAGATTCAGCCCCAGAGAGACTTCTTGGATGATTCCTCCTATTCTCCCACCCTTGTGGGATTGGCCAGTCTTAAATTACTAAGAAATTAGGTTATTGTGACAGTACACCCACACTTGTGAGCTTCAGCACTCCAGTGACTCACGTTCTATTCCCAGCAGAAACAAGAAGGAAGCAGGGAGCTTTCCCTTCTCTCTGCTCTCCTTCAGGTGACCAAACATCACCTGCCCTTCAGCACTTCACAAGAGCCATAAACTCATAAAAGGTCGCTGTGTTACCTGCAGTGCAGCGTCATCATTCCCAACAGGAATAGCTCCAGGAACTCCCAAACAGAAGTCAGTTTGTTTTTTCTCCAGGATTTTTGTCATCACTCAATTGCCTGGCCAGGTGAGGTCAGATGGGACATGAATACTGCCAGCTCACAGATTCCCAAGACAAATTCCTTAAGGTGCTTCAGATGTGACATTATTCAAAAAAGGGGGATGTTTTGTATTTATTGCTATGAAACTTCAGGACGCCTTTGCAACAAACAAGTTTTACACTAATATGATGATCTAAAGGCATTTTGCACTAAAAGAGAAACTTTTCTTCTTACACAGCTCTACAGGCCAAGCACCAAATATCCCTGCTCTATTACAGACCCTGCAGATCTGAAATTAAGCTCATCCTCAAAAATCTTTTTCCATCTCAGTTGGAGAGACAAGATGAAATAAGTGCAGAGTTGCTGAGAAATAGACTATTCTTTTCAAGTGTATATGGGACAGCAGGAAGAGAGCTGCCAAGATGCTCACACCTCATTACCTGCTTGATGTGCTATTGCCAAGATATCATCAGAGGCGTTTGACTAAAATCAACAGAATAATTCGTGTTTACACACGACTTCAACAGCGTCAGCAACAGGTACATGAACTGCAGGCTACAACGACAGAAGCTGCAAGAGTGTCTTAAGCAAGAATATTATTTGTAAAGGCAAAAGGGTGTTACAAAATTATGAGCTTCTACTCCTTCTTACACAAAAATGACTCTTACTCATAAGACTGGTGCTATTTTTGTCTTGCCAAAGCAGGATGAGGCACATGCATCCCCTTTCTGGAGCAGGCCTTCCCCTCTAACAAAGAGAAAAGATAAGCCAAGGATACACAGGGGAGAACTGTTTTATCAGCGCGTCCCTGCCACTGTGATTAGTAGCGTTAACCACAATTTTTAAAACACAAACCAGGTAAAAAGAAAGAAAAAAGCAGTTACACCACTCATTTTGTACGTGGAGTACTTACACTAAGAAAGGGCTGAACTGTAGGCAGTTCCCAAAGAAGCCCCTGAAGCACAGGCTTTGCGGAGCCTGACGGAGCACACACGCTGAGCAGCCCAAGCCCCAAGAAGCCTGGTCCTGGTCCTGTTCCTTGTCCTCTCCCCCACCCACCCATTCAACTCTCCGAAGCGCTGGGCGCACACACGACCGCACCAGCGCTAAAACAACGGGAGAAGCACTAAATCCTCCCGCGGCCTTCCCGGCTCCTTCCAGCAGCTGCAGCCGCCACACCTCGGGCTTCCCCTAAGGCAGCAGCAGCAGCCTCGGGACGCAAGCGGGACCCCGCAGTGATGGGTCGGGAGCCGTAGCAGCCCCAGGCCCAGCCCAGCCCGGCCCCGGCGCTGCACCGCCGCCCCTCCGCGCCACCACCCGGCTCCGCGGGCCCGCAGCCTCACCGTGGTCCTGGTTGAAGCCCGCGTAGAGCAGCCCGTTGCCGTGCGGGTTGGCCGGGAGCAGGTTCATGGCTCCGGCTCGGCCCCTTCGCCCCCGCCCCTCACACCATGGCGGCGCCCGCCCGCCTCAGCCCCGCCGCGGGAGCCCGAGCCGAGCCCGCCCGAGTCGGGCCCAGTCCAGCGAGCCCGCCGGAGCCGAGCCGGACCGAGCCCGGCCGGGCCGAGCTAAGCCGAACCCGCCCGAGCGGGGCTGAGCGGAGCCGAGTCCGGCCGAGTCCCGCCGGGCCGAGGCGGACAGGCCGGCGGCTGCTTCCGGCCCTGCCAGGCACCGCTGCCGAGCGCAGAGCCGATCCAGCCGCCGGCGGGAGGAGCGCCGAGTAGTCGAGCGCCGCGGGAATGGCGGAGGGAGCGCCGGGGATGCACCGGGACTGACCGCCGGGAGGGACCGGCAGTGATCGACACTGACCGCCCGGACTGACCAGGACGAACCGGGACTAACCGCCGGGCCAGAGGGGAAGACGGGTGGCCCGGGCCCCTCCCAGCTCCAAAGGACTATTTGGTAAAAGCTTTCACATCAAACTAGTAAAAACACAGGAGCTGTGGTTGGAATATGCTAAAATAGTGATTCCCTGACTTGACAAAATCCCAAACGAAACCAACCCCCAAACCCAACCACCAACACCACAAATACTTCTTGAAAATGTGGAAGTTCTCGGGGCCCAAGGCCCTGAGTGTCCTAACTGGACTTAAATAGTAATTTTACTTCAAGCAAGGACCCGGCAGCCCCTTCCAACCCGGAGTATTCCATGGCTGTATGATGAGCTGGAGCCCAGATTGTGTGTGCTCACACCAACACCAGCTATTCCCCATCCCTCCTGTGCGTTCACCTCCTTTTCCGTGCTCGCTGGCTCTCTGCCTTCCGCTGATGTCGCATCTCGGATTTGTGACCAGCTCTGTTGGGAGGTGACCTCAGCTTTTCAGTGCACAACAGCTGAGTGCAGCCCTGGAGCTCTGCATAGCGCAGCTGCCTTATATATATATATATGTATATATACACACACACATATATATATATAAAATAGAATAATCACATTGCATCTTTATGAGATTTTGTTTCCTCAGGCAGCCAAGAGACTGGGTAATGTGAAATAACAAACCCTTGTTTGCCTTTTCTAAAGCTTCTGCCCAGCTAGGGCCCCAGGCTTTACTTAATCCACGTGGGATTGCTGCAGGCATTTCCAGGAGAGAGGAATCCTGCTCCAGCCTCTCTTTACCTTGTGTTTATGTGGCTGACAGGACGAACACAGCCTCTGGCCTTGGGGATGGACACACAGCCGCGGAGATGCTCCCTCCAGCCAGACATTCCTCCTGCATATCACAGAGAGGGACCAGACTGGTGATTGAGGAGGCCAAGGGTATAATTTGGAAGAAATAAACCAACATAGCCGTGTGCATGGGACAGAACTGCTCATCCTGCACCCGGACTTTGGGTGGGCATATGCAGAGCACTGCCGAAGTTTGGGTGTCTCCGATTCAGGTTTAACCCCTCGGAGCTGCAGGCAGCCGTGTCCTTGTCCGTGTCCGTGTCCGTGTCCGTGTCCGTGTCCGTGTCCGTGTCCGTGTCCGTGTCCGTGTCCGGCTGCAGTGGATGCAATTTCACCATCCCGACAGCTCCATCCCGCAGCGTTTCCCGGAGCTCCCCCAGCACACACAGCCCAGCAGGAGGAGCCTGTTCATCCCCCGGAGACAGAGCCCACAGGAATTCTTCCACCGAACAGGGTTTGCCGGCTGGGATTTCACTGGGAGAAGACTTGTTCTGATGACACTTTGCTTTAAGCTGATGCACTGATTGCTCCAGGTCCCGGCACCACTCTCGCATTTTACTGGCCGGAATTTTGGCACCCACAAGCATGTCAGTGCTGATCCAGAAGGAGCACCACAGACTCTTGGTGGTATCTCACACCAGTGGAGACACTGATAGGAAACTGGGATGAAGGTACACGAAACGATTGTTATTACTGAGGAGAAGGAGTCACACAGTCCCTTCACACATGAAAGACTTGGCTTGAATTATTCTTCCACATTTCAGGTAACAATTTTGTAGACAGATGTTGTATCAGAAGCCTTATATGATACTTAAAGGCTGAGTTCACATTTCTGGTATCTAATCCAGGTATATTGTTCTTCAAATTCTTCTAAAGGAAGATAAAGCCAACCCTCCCCAGTTAAAGAAACCATTTCTAAAGAATCTGAAAAAGGATTTATTTTTCATAAACATTCAATTTATTTATTTTTTTAAATAGTGTTCTTCAAGTCGTGTTTCTTTTACCACAGCCTCTGTGGCATTTTTCTCTGAGAACTTTCTTATAGAGTGATGTGAAATGTAATTTATTCATACAGAAAAGTATTTAACCTACAAATTAATTCCCCAAAGTATTAAAAAAACATACAAAAACATTTATCAAATTAATTACATGCAGTAATGAGACAAAACCTTCTTGTGCATGTGCACAATAATTATAGATCCATTTTTAGCTTAGTGAAGTTTGTCCTTTAAAGTTACTGAGGGAACTTCACAAGAAATCCAAATACACAATTGTAGCACTACAGAATTTGTCACACTATTGGTAGAATTTAACAATGGCAAATACTTTAAGTATATTTAATACATTTTATTGTATCGAACACATTTTAATTGTGTTTAATATATATTTATTGTGTTTAATGCATTTTAAGTACCTCTGCCTGAATATGCAGACCCATTACTCATTTTTATATTTTTAATCGTTTGCAAAAAAGACTGGATTTTCTTTTCTTTTTATTAATAAGTCACTTTCCAGATTTCATGAAATTAAGAATTGAATCTAATGGCATTTATCCCCTTTTTAAAAACAGACAAAGTAGTGAAACCAATGTTGTGCACATCAGAAACTAAAACGCAGTACGAAAATCCAGCAGCAGAATGTCATGTCCTTTCGGTGGCATTGGATGTCATTCATCCCAAAGCACCATTTCTGTGCTGAGCAAGCACTAAAACAAGACTTCACGTTGTAATTTTTGGTGTGGTACGTACATGGAGTGTGAGCTGCCATTGAACAGGAATCCATGTGTTCGCGTCCGGCGGGCCACCGGGCGCTTGTGCGCAGCGGAGAACAGTGTCACAGTGCCGTCACACCGGGAAATGTCCCTCATAACACCGAGAACTGCCCCTCATAACACCGGGAACAGCTCCTCATATCACCGGGAACTGCCCCTCGTAACACCGAGAACTGCCCCTCGTAACACCGGCAACTGCCCCTCATAACACCGAGAACTGCCCCTCGTAACACCGGGAACTGCCCCTCGTAACACCCCTAACAGCTCCTCATATCACCGGGAACTGCCCCTCATAACACCGAGAACTGCCCCTCATAACACCGGGAACTGCCCCTCGTAACACCAGGAACAGCCCCTCATAACACCGGGAACAGCCCCTCATATCACCGGGAACAGCCCCTCATAACACCGGGAACAGCATGCCCTCACACCGGGAACTCTTGTTCCCATAACAGCGGGAACAGTGCCCCGTTACACCGGGAGCAGCCTCCCCTCACACCGGCACAGCCCTCCATCATTGCAGGAACTGTTCCCTCAGACCGGGACAGCTTCCCCCCCTCACACAGGGAACAGCCTTCCATCACTGCAGGACCAAGTCCCCCTCACACCGGACCAGTCCTCCATCACTCCAGGAACTGTTCCCTCACACCAGGACCAGCCGCCCCTCATGCAGGAGCAGCTGCCCCTCACACCGGGAGCCCTCCCCCATCACACCGGGAGCACTCCCCCCTCACACCGGGAGCAGTCCCCCATCACACCGGGAGCATTCACCCAACACTAAAGGATCTGTTCTCTCACACCGGGACCAGCCTCTCAACACTGCAGGAGCTGTTCCCTCACACCGGGACCCGGGGGTGCCGCTCACCCTTTCCAGTCCCGCAGGTTCCCGCCCCGCAGCCCGGCCGGGATCTCCCCCATCCCCACGGCACTGTCCCGCCCCGGCAGGAATATCCGCAGGGAACCGCGGGCTCCAGCCGGGCTCCTCGCCTGGCTCATCCTCCTCCCCGCACCTCACCCGGCCGATTAACGGATTTAATCACATCCTTTGGGGCTGCAGCCTTGGATTTCACACCAAATACCCCCGATACAGAGCCTGTGGCCATTCCTGGACTGCCTTCAGCTTCCCTCTAGTGGATTGGCCTGACACCACCCTTCCGCAGGCGATCCCGGAGCTTTAGCGCAGCTCCAAACTACAAATACCAGCAGCTCCAGCACCGCTGAGAGGCCCCAGGACCCACCTCTCCTAGAATTAATCTCTCCAGTTTATTCTAGCAAATATTTATAAAGAATTTTATTTTTCAAGTATAGCTGTAAAAGC